GCGTCTACATTGGCCACAGATGCTTTTCTGGAAAAAGGGCTTTTCCGGAAAAGCAGCCTGCCAATGTAGACGCTCTTTTTCCGGAAATACTTATAACGAAAACTATTCTGTTTTAAGCATTTCCGGAAATTCATGCCAGTGTAGACACAGCCCTCGGGTACAACCGCACAGCAGGGTGATTTCAGAATAACTAACGTTATTCCAAAATAACATAGTCTGCGTCTGCACACAAGCGCTTATTTCGACATAGTGTCAAAATAACGTCCAGCCAGAGGACTTCTTACTCTGATCCCTGTAACCCTCATTGTACGAGGATTAAGGGTAGCGGACGGAGAGTGCTCTTTCTCAGACTTCCTGCTATGTAGATGTAACTTTTGGTTGGGCTAGACTTCACTGCTGTTCTCCAGTGTCTAAAATAAAGAAAACCCCTTCACTCCCATAGAAAGTAACTGCAGACCCAGAGTTCAGTCTAAGAAATTTCAGCAAGTAGTGCACAGTGTCACATTCAAGTGCTAAAAGAAACGAAAGAAATGAATTTAATTAAATAACCTTATAAAATCTTATGATAAACAAATAATCTAATGTTTACAACATAACAACCATTGTCTTCACAGTTACAATGAACATAAAAAAAAAGAAAACCAAAGTAAGATTTGAACAGTTCAGTCCACACGAAACACAAGAAGAAGAAACTGGGAGAGCCCAAAAGCTTAGATTTAGTTCACCAAAGTCTCAGTTTATGTGTCTCATCATCAAATCTGTACCATATGCTGTGTCTGAACCATCTCTCCACTTTCTTGTAGGGATCCTCAGTTGGAGTCCAGGCGGACTCTTCCTCTGCTGTGGATCACTGCTAGACAGACAGCTAACTGATTAACTAGTCAGTTAACTCACAAGTGAACGTATTTAAAGAAAATCCTGTTACAAGAAAATACAAAAACTGAGAATAACAAATGAGAAATTACTTTTTTTTCCATTACTACATTTAAAGAGGAGATGAAGAATCATACTGACAGAGAAAGTGAACTAAAACAGTTTGGCTAAAATCAAAACAGCATTTAAAGCATGCAGTTAACACAGAAGATGTTATTTTCCCCTCCCAGTTTTCCCTTGATATAATTAACATTGCCCATGTGCTCTACTGGAGGGTTAACTGCAAAGTGCTTCAGAGTGAGGAACAGCCTGCTCTCTGCTCCTGGCTCAGCTACTCCCAGCTCACACAGGGCACAAGGCCCTTAGAAAAGCAGCTGCCTGGCTTGCTTGCTCATGGAGTCTGACCCCAGCAACAGAGACAGAATCTACTGGGACAGACCCAAACTACCACACCCATTTCCAGAAGCTTCCGTGTGTGGAGTGCTAAATCTGCCTTGCAACAATGACCTAAACATAACTCACTCCTACCTCCCCACCCAGGGGTCTCTCACCTAAACATAACTCACTCCTACCTCCCGACCCAGGGGTCTCTCAGGCTACTCTACACTGCAACGCTATTTTGGGATACTGGAGTATCCTGAAATAGCTATCCTGCGTCTTCACAGCAAGTCTGTTATTTTGGGCTCGCTATTCTGACATTCCTGTAAACCTCATTCAATGAGGAGTAAGGCACATTTTGGGATAGCTCTTTATTTCGAAATTTGGCGCTGTGTAGACAGCGCCAAAAGACAAAATAGGCTATTTTGAAATAGCATCAAAATAAGGTATGCAATTTGGAGAGCGCAAATTGCATATCTTATTTTGATGTAAGGGTGCTGTGTAGATGCACCCGTAAAGAGATATCTCCCTGTTAGGTACATGGGTTACATAGACAGTGCCAAAAGCCAAGATAAGCTATTTTGACTTAACTACGCAATTGACGTAGCTCAAGCTGCATAGTTTATTTTGGCTTTTGCCATGCTGTGAAGACATGACTTAAGATGCCACTGGACTCCTTGTTGTTTTCTCCATTAATATGAGGCCTGATTGTAGAATCCTTATTCACTGCAGTAAACAATCATATGTTAAAACAATTTATATTCTGTTAAAACAAAACACAAAGATCTTAAATAAAAGAAATGTCTTACATGCAGATATTTTATTTCCTTCATAATAGGGAGGAATAAAATTACCTGTAATCACACTTTTTGTTAATTTAAAATGTTCCATCAAAATTTAAAGAATGTTAATCTACAGCAGTTAGATTGGCAAGTTTATCAGCTGTTACTGTCTGGATTCATAATATGTACTATTATGTCCTGATTATGATTTCCTCCAAAATGACTGAAACCTTCCTTTCTAAGATTTGAAGAGAGTGATTTAACATCTCAGATTACCAAAAGAAGCTGTATTATCTAGTTTGAACAACAGAAGAAATACATCAAATACTGTAAATTATTGCTTAACAAAGAACAGTGACAGGCCAGATAAAAGAAATAGATTCCATTTTGATTATGTTTGAAGAAACACTGCTATCATTTTATCCTGCAAACTCTCCTTATAATGCAGCAAAATATTCTCTTTGAAAGTAAGACTGAAATCAGCAGGAGCTTCATTATTTTGTTCTTCTATCTATTTATTATTGCTAGGGGTAAAAAGATTGGACATGATGTCGATTTTCTAATCACCAGTCCAGAGCTAAGAGAAGAGGAAGAAGTTTTACACAGAGTGATTGACTTATGGAAAAAGCAGGTATGTAGCAAAATAACATTTGGATACAAAAGATTGTCATTAATAGCACTGGATTCAGCTCTGTAAGCTGATATAGACATTGGTGACGAGTGGCTTAGAAATACATATGACACTAATATTTAACTCTCAAGGAAGGATTTGAATATTAGATAGTGCAGGTGCCTTAAACAAGTTTAGCTCAATAAATAAGTTCCCCCAGGAATAATCAATCTGCTACTTCCTACATTCATTGCTAGTAAAAATATCTCCATACATTTAATTTCTGTAATATTTAAGTGATTTGATTACAAGTCAGACATATTCTTTGTTGTCTTTCATATGAAATGTAATAATGACATACATATGGCTTTGGGTCATTTTTCTTGGCATTGAATTAGAAATCATTTTGCTTCATGTAAAAGAGCAACTTTCATTGTGGGGTGAGTTATCAAAAGCCCAGAAGCCTAAGCAAGATTGGCTGTCTGTTCAGATGGCTGGAAGAGGGTAATTTTAAATCAGTTCAGGAATCATATGTCTTTTTCAATGTGTTCATGAGAAATAGACATCAAACTATTCAATGGTTTGGAAAAGCCTTCAAATAGACAGATAACTCTGAACTAACTTCACGGTTTGCGATCAGACCAAACACCATCGTACCAACTTTCTCAGTAGATCCTGGCTCTTTTTCCATGGGCAAATCATATAGGCATAGCTCCCTTCCTCCAGTCCGCTTCCAATCTCCGAAGAAATTCCAAGCCTCCCTTCTGAGGCCTGAGCTTCCACCTTAGTTATGCACAGGCAGATCCTCAGCAGGTGTAAAATGTCATAGCTCCACAGAAATCAGTGGAGGATCTGCGCTGTTATTATTGTTGTGATTTATTTAAAGCTTCTTTCATGGGCACCCCGCTCACTTTATACCAGGCAAAGTACATTGTCTTCAGTCACCACACAAGTAGGCCATGCAGTTCACCCTGTGCTGCTTTATTTAAACTAAGAGATAAGGAAGTGAAAAATAGAAAACTATTTTTTAAAAGTGAAATAACTAGTCAGATGAAGCTGCAGTGAGAAAAGAGGGGATGGTAAATAACAAGAAAGTGTTGATAAATGGATTAGGCTTGAGTTGGGAAAGCCACGATAGTGAAGAGATGGAAGAAATGGCAAGTAGAGACAAGTAGAGGAAGAATGTAATCTGGCAAAAAAATCCAAGCCTAAATATACAGGGAGTTATGGTGCTAAGCAAAGGGTCCCCTTCCCTTCTCCCCTTCTAAAGAATCCTTGGTGGTTATAGCATATAAACCTGCTGCCTGCATTGATGTTTATGCTGCTATGTCACTTCTAATATGCATATTCCTACCATCAATGCTGGAGAAATTGGCTGCCAGCAAAATCAAAATGCAAAAACAAAGAGAGAAATTATACTTCTCCTGATTTTCTTATTTCCTTCGATTTAGAAAAAAAATTGTAAAGCACTTTCATACTTTTTGACAGTGAACCTGTCTGCCTTCTTGCTGCTTTCCTGCTTTTGTGCTCCTGCTTCAAAGCTCAGATGCATCAAAGAACATCACTAAGGTCATGATGTTGACTTTCTTTCAACTGCTTTTAGTGAAAGATTCTGCGATGTTTAACTTGTAAACTAAGAAAAAATGAATTTAAATAGTTTAGAAGAAGCTTTTTTGTTGTTGAAAAGTTTAGTGTTGCAGAATCTTTCTTCTGAGAGCTGATGGAAAAACTAAGTGGGTAAGTCAACACCGTAGTGCTCTTTGATGCAGCAGTACCACAGATAAGTGGGTCTAGAAACAGAAGACATGTCTCCTCTGAGCTTCAAAGTGGAATGGTAAAATGGAAAAGCTGCAATGCGGTAGACAAGTTATCTTTTAATAGTTCACTAGTACTTCATTTTTAAAGCAAGTGTGCTTCAAAGGCCGGGTAAAATGACTTCCCCTGTGGGCTGCATTTTAGAAGTCTTGGGGCTAGTAGTTTCTTAGTCATATGTGTCCATACAACTTTTTAATGCATCTAGACTGTATATTGCTTTCATTTTTATTTTTGTAGAAGCATATCTAAATACATGTTGTTAAATATATACCAGAGATAACATTGCTGTAAGAATTTTAACTTTTGAATTATCTCACATAACATTTCTAATTGTACACACTTAACACTGCGTTAACACAGCTTGGCTCTAATTTCCTTGTTGATATTTTTAAGAAAGAGAAAGTATAACCAGCCTGTTCTGAACAATCTTAGCATTTAAATGGTCCTAATCATTCTCTATCATTCACAACTCATTGGGAGGAATGGATGGGAGAAGAGAAGTCTCATTGAGGTGAATGGCAGGGAGCTAAATGATAGCACTAAGTCACAACTGAAGACAGTTCTATGCAGATTTGATTTTTAAAGAGCAGCAGCACATTTATTACCCTGTGATGCCTGTATCTTGGCAATAGAAAAAATAGCTTGGTTGAAATGAAAGTTCAAAAATTACATATCTTGTAACTTTCCCATACCAATAATTTTCTCCAACTTTTGAAGATAAGGCTGTTAATTTTTACTCTGTGTCCATGTGTCCGTGTGTGTGTGTGTGTGTGTGTATGTGTATGTACTGCTGAGACAATTATAATCTCTCCCATGCAAACTGTCTTAGCAGAAGATGAAACTATGTCTACACTAAGCAACTTTTAGTTACAAGGCAAAGACAGCACATGTGAATAATATTTGTTAGTAGCTTTACAAACAAAATGCTTCTAGCCCCCATGAGCAGCTTTCAATTTGACCGCATGAGAGCTGTTCTGCCAACAAAGCAGCATTCACATTTGTCCTTGCAGTGGGAAAACTTCTATGGTGTATGTGTATATGGTGTAAGCATCCATGAACAACAAAAGTTTTGTGATCACTTGCAAATGTAGATAAACCTCAGAACAGCAGCACTTTCAGGCTTGGAAAGAAGAATGTGTTGTCAGATCCTTAACTGGTATACAGGCAGTCCCCGAGTTATGTCGGATCCGCAGTTACAAACAGGGTTTGCTCTGCGTCTCCCTGGTCTGCTGGAAACCAGCAGACCAGGGAGACGTGGAGCAAAGCCGTGGAGCACGCGGGCTGGTCGGTTTCAGCAGCGGCTGAATCTGGATGCCAGTTCCGACTTACATACAGATTCAACTTAAGAACAAACCTACAGTCCCTATCTTGTACATAACCCGGGGACTGCCTGTATACTGGCCTAGTTCATCTTCAATAGAATGCCAATTTCTACCACCTTCAAATCATGTCTATGTGATGTCACAAACGTGGTCGGACTTCATTAAAGTCCTGCTTAAAATCAATCTACGTGTCTACAGTGCATGTTCAGAAGAGATACATATATTATTGTCCCAAACTTCTGGATTTACTCCAAAATTAAAACTTCTTTTGACATGCCAAAATTCATGTTTAAAAAAATAATACCACACTTATTTTAAGAAGGAAAATTGTTCTACCCATAGTCTTACTACACCTTTCCACAAAATCCCCACTTGTTCTGACAGTGCAGAATATCTGTGTGATAAAATGTCTTTTAATCTTCATTTAATAATTGAAACCTGTAAGTAAAGACTAAAGGGCTGTGTCTAGACTGCATCCCTTTTTCAGAAAAGGGATGCAAATTAGACATATCGCAATTGCAAATGAAGCGGGGATTTAAATCCCCCCCCCTGCTTCATTAGCATAAAAATGGCTGCCGCTTTTTTTCTGGCTCGGAGCTTTGCTGGAAAAAAGCACCAGTCTAGACGCAGATCTTTCAGAAAATAAAGCCTTAACCTCATTTAAAGAGGTATTGGCCATTAGGTATTGGCCATTGCCATTGCTCCATTAAAAAATGCAGGTGAAACAGCACATCTGTAAGTTCAAAAACAAACAAACAAAGACTGTTAAAGAGTGCAGTCAGCCATGAAGTTCTAGTAGAGCTCTGGATACTACTGGTTTAAGACAGCACATTTGCATTACACAATATAAATTAGTGCATGTGCAGTTTTCTGCAAACCCCAGGGCTGTGTCTAGACTGCATCCCTCAGTCTCCTCTTTTCTAAACTGAAAAGTCCCAGTCTCTTTAGCCTTTCTTCATATGGGACCTGTTCCAAACCCCTGATCATTTTAGTTGCCCTCCCCTCTCCCACCCTCTCTCTTCTCCTCTCCCACCTCCTTTTCCCAGTCTCCCCCAGTTTTGTTCAATAAAGAGAGATTCTATTTTTGACCACACGTTTTCTTTATTTTGTACATCAGGAAGGGGGGCTAGGGAAGGGTAAGTGGAAGGAGGTGAGGGAGGAATGGGGTACGAGCCCCCGATGGGGAGGACTGGGCTGGCTCTGCAGGCTTCTGGGGGTGGAAGCTCTCCTGCAGCCCCCCAATGGCCCCCTCTCCCCAGATGGCAGCCTGCGGCAAGTGCAGCCGGGCTGATGGCCGAGTGGTGTGATGTGCCCAGTGTGGGCACTCAGGGCACTCCAAGCCAGAACTTCTTTGCAAGCGGGGCACCCCTTAGAACTGTGTGTCCGGGGTGGGGGTCGGGACCCTTTAAGCGCAGCCCTCGGCTAGCCTGAGACAGCATCTCCATGCTCTAAGTCCTCCTTTTATGCCCTGCCGGCACTGCTTCCGGCCATCATTAAGCCCTGTTCAGAGTCCACTCAATGTGGACTTACACAGTAGCAGATTTAAAGGTAGCCATCCTGCAGTAAAAAAACTTCAAGACCAGACTTCAAAGACAAACTGCTGAGCTACAGTGCATCTGCAAATTAGACACCATCAGTTTAGGATTAAAGAAAGACTGTGAATGGCTAGCCAACTACAAAAGCAGTTTCTCCTCTCTTGGTGTTCACACCTCCACATCAGCCTCTAGAAGTGGGCCTCACCCTCCCTGACTGAATTAATCTCATTATCTCTAGCCTGCATATTTACACCTGCCTCTGGAAATTTCCACTACATGCATCTGACGAAGTGGGTCTTTGCCCATTAAAGCTTATGCTCCAATACATTTGTTAGTCTATTAAGTGCCACAGGATTCCTTGTCGCTTTAATATATAATCCAGAGATTCAGTCCTGAAATGGATAGTAGGTGTGATTAGGAGGTCAACACTATCCGTAGATACTTGTTCACCCGATGATATACTCCAGGGGTGGGAAACCTAAGGTCTGGGACCTGGATGCAGCCCCTGGTTTGCCTGGATCTGGACTCTGAGGCTCAGGGCTCCGCCCCCCAGCCCGCCATGGCATTCCAACTCCCCTGCCATCCCTCCCCCGATGCAGTCCTTCAGCAAGGAAAAGGCCAGGGTGCTCTACTATAGCAGAGCTCCAAGAATGAATTACAGCTCTACGATTGCATGATGGAAACCAAAATGAGCTGAAAAATGTTTTCTTCAAATACCTAACATGAAAATAGGACAGGGGTTCTCAGACTTCATTGTACTGCAACACACTTCTGACAACAAAAATTACTACACAGCCCCAGGAGGGGAAGGGGAGCAAAAAGCTCCACTACCCCGAGCTGTGTGTGTCAAAACAGAATCCCAAGGGCCTCAGACCCAGGCACGGGGCCTGCAAACTGAGCCCCGCCATGCAGGGCTGAAGCCTTGGGCTTTTGGTTTCTGTCCTGAGCCATGGAGCTCAGGCTTTGGGCCCACCAGCTTTGGTGACAGTTTCCCTCTAATTTCTGATGTCTGTGCACAGAATGAATTTTGTTGTGTGCACCAATATAGAGGTGATGTGTGACACGTAGTGTCCATATTGGTGCACATAACAAAATTCATTCCACATAGGGATGTTGTGTGCTGGGATGGGACAGCAGGGTTTGGAATTTGGGAGGGGTCTCAGGGCTGGGGCAGAGGTTTGAGGTGCGGGAGTAGGGGTGAGGGCTCTGGCTGGGTCTTTGGGTGGAGCTATGAATGAAAGGCTTGAGGTGCAAGCTGACATGGGTAGAGAGGACTATCCCCAGCCCTGTCTCACTGCAGCAGCTTGGGGGCAGATGAAAGGTGCCTCTTCACAGCTGCAGGAGCACCAGTAGGGCTGGGCCAGGAGAGGGTTGCATTTGCCCTGGCTGCAGTAGGTCTATGCTGGGGCTGGATTAGGTTTGGGGAAGAAGCATCTCTTCTCTGTCTGTGGCAAGGCCAGGTCAGGTCTGTGCTGGGGCCAGCAAGGAGATGCGCTGCTCCCTGCCGCAGCAGTTCTGGGGCTTGGAGAGAGGTATTTCTTTCTGCTGCAGCCATGAGCCCCTGCGCAGGGCTTAATAGACCACTGTGTGGCCATTCAACTGTGCATTTTGGAGGGAACTTAGGCTAGCAACCCCCAATCCACAGTTTGAGAACCACTGAAATACAAAGCAGACGATCAGACAAGAAAGACCCCTCCCTTAAATTGTAGGCGGTAGCTGTACTTACAGGACTTTTCCCCATTTTTCAGAACAGTTTGGGAGCCCTCTATTGAGGCTACATCTAAACTACACTCCTCTGTCAGCAGAGGGATGTAAATTAAACGTATCGAAAGTGCAAATGAAGCTGGGATTTAAATATCCTGTGCTTCATTTGCATAATGACAGCTGCCACTTTTTTCTAAACGTGGTTTTTTAAAAAAACCCTGGCAGAATAGGACTGGAAGGGACCTCTAGAGGTCATCGAGTCCAGCCCCCCGCCCTCAAGGCAGGACCAAGCTCTGTCTACACCATCCCTGACAGATGTCTATCTAACCTGTTCTTAAATATCTCCAGAGAGGGAGATTCCACCACCTCCCTTGGCAATTTATTCCAATATTTGACCACCCTGACAGTTAGGAATTTTTTCCTAATGTCCAATCTAAACCTCTCCTGCTGCACTTTAAGCCCATTACTCCTTGTCCTGTCCTCAGTAACCAAGAGGAACAAATTTTCTCCTTCCTCCTTGTGACACCCTTTTAGATATTTGAAAACCGCTATCATGTCCCCCCTTAATCTTCTTTTTTCCAAACTAAACAAGCCCAGTTCATGAAGCCTGGCTTCATAGGTCATGTTCTCAAAAGCTTTAATCATTCTAGTCGCTCTTCACTGTAACCTTTCCAATTTCTCCACATCTTTCTTGAAATGTGGCGCCCAGAACTGGACACAGTACTCCAGCTGAGGCCTAACTAGTGCAGAGTAGAGCGGCAGAATGACTTCACGAGTTTTGCTTACAACACACCTGTTGATACAACCTAGAATCATACAGGATGAGTACAGGATCTTTCAAACTGGGGCATTTCTGTTAAAAATGCCCCGTCTAAACTACCATTTTGTTTTTGTTTTCGAAAAGCCCATTTTGAAAAAAAAGTGGTGGCAGCCATTATGCAAATGAAGCATGGGATATTTAAATTCCGGCTTCATTTCCACTTTTGATACGTCTAATTTACATCCCTCTGCCGACATAGGGATGTAGTTTAGACGTAGCCTTAAAGAGCTACTAGAAATTCTTCTCCAGAAAACTGAGGGTACAGGTTAGACTTACATTTCAGAACCTAGAAAGCAAAGTTGAAATCCTAGCAAATAAACTCACTATGATAGATAATAAACTGGGATGAATGGAAATTAAAACTAAATGAAAATTTATGGAGGTCAGAAAAAATACAGCAATGTAGGTCATTGCTAGAATGAAAGTGATGATAAAATGGGGAACATGGGATAATCACAGGACAAAGGAACTTAAAAACCAAACTCATGCCAAGAACACTAGAATTATGAGCATGTGTCTGAGCTTTGTCAGATTGTGGAACGTCTCTCAGAAAATGGAATTACTAATAGCTGGGCCTGATTGCTAAAGATAACTGGATGTGTATGATGCAGTACTATAGTAGCATAGGTTGTGCATCATTTCCTGTCTGAAAACCCTAGCAGGTATGGAAAAAAAACAGGACTAGACCCCCTGAAGCTCCTAGCAGGTATGAGAACTCTCCATCTCCCAATTTAACAGCTCTGTTTGGAAATTGTCAGTTAGGACTAGACCCTGAACAATGCAGACTTAATCAGTTTTCCTGTATGCATAGCATATGGGGATGCACCAATCCCCAGTTAGGAGTAACTGTGTGACATCAACTGCAAAATGTTTGAGGGAGAGGTTAGAGTAGTAAACATTGCCTCCTGATCACAGAGCAGGGTCTGTCAGCCACTGAATAGTGCATGGTCATTACTAATGATCTCCCTCTCATGATCTGCTAAGCTCTCCCCAATACCTATGCAGCCCAATTAATAAGAGCTGGTCTGCTGGGCTTCATGTGCTCAATATACTGGGGTTTAGCCTCTGATGTACAGTCCTGTTAGAACTATAATGACTATAAGGTGTGAGTTTATATTAATATAAGACTATCTGGAAACTCTGAATTTCTCGCAAAATCAAAACCAGTAATTTACTGTAAGCAGTGCTTTCTCTTTTTTAGGGCGTGCTTTTGTATTATGATCTCGTTGAATCAACATTTGAGCAGGCAAAATTACCAAGCCGAAAAGTTGATGCTTTTGATCACTACCAGAAATGCTTTGCAATTTTAAAATGTCCTCAGCAAAGAGTGGACACCAGCAATTGTGATACATCAAAAGAATCTGAGAAGGCAAAAGCCAAAGCTTGGAAGGCAATCCGCGTGGATCTGGTTGTAAGCCCCTTTGAACAGTATGCATATGCTCTGTTAGGTTGGACTGGCTCCAGGGTAAGTAACCTTAAGAGCCTACATATTTTCTTTGAGTTACTAACCTATTTTTGGTGTTGCCAAATTATTCAGATTTGGTGGACTTTTAGAAATGTTCCTCTCTCCACATTTTTCTATTATCTTCTTTTTAACCAGTCATTAACCCATTATCCTATCTTATGGCATCACTGACATTTATATATTATTTCCTTAATAAAAGAGTTAACAATTTTGTTCTTTGAAGTTTAATTTATAGGTGCATCTACAGCCCTCTTTTGCCACTCCAGAATTGCAGAAGGTTTAACTTGCCAGCTGGGCTAAGGGGAATTCCCTAGGTGCCAAAAATGTTAGGGCTTAATAATTATTTAATAGCTTTAAAATAAAATTATTTATTAGGGTATTGGTAGTTGATCTTGTGGTTGGTAGTTACTTTGCTAATTGGTAACTAGGACTGTAATTGGTGGTGTAATTAGGATAATACAATTTTTTAAAATAATGAATTAAAATAAATATAAAATTCAAAATGAAAATGTTATTTCAAAACTAAAAATCAAAATGTAACATTCTGGGAAGGTTTCAAAAATATTTAGTTTTTTAAATTAAATTTTACCAAAATCAATATGCCCCAACACAATGTCATTTTCTGAGGGAAACGTGTTCCATCGGAAAGCATTTAACTAACTCTGAACTTCATTACTGCCCTCTGATGTCACTTATACTAGTGTCTTGAAAAGAGCCTGATTCAGCATGTCTGTATCCACATTTGGCACTCTAGTTCACCCAACTTATTATTTATACTTCTAGCATTTGTATATAAACACCTTAAAAACTTGTCACTTTTTAGCTGTCTGCCATTACATCAGGGATGGGCAACACCATGGCAGCACTTCACCAGGGTTAGCCTTGGTGGGCTGTGCTACTATATTTACCTGAACGGCTGCTGGTACTGGCAATCGCAGCTTCCATTGGCTGCAGATTACTGTTCCCAGTCAATGGGAGTTGCAGGAAGTGGCCCAGAGAGGGACACCACTTCTCGCGGCTCCCATGACTGGGAATGGCAATCCGCTGCCAACGGGAGCAACAGTTGTAAGTACCTGCAGCCGTGCAGGTAAATATAGCAGTAGGGACCTGCCAGGAGCTAACCCTGGTGGACTGGATCCATCCCACAGGCCAGTATTTGCCCATCCCTATATTACATGATGTAATTGAATTCAACTCTTTTTCATTTGATTGTTTCTCCTAAGATCCCACCCATATTTTACCATCTTCCATCATCTCCTACCTATTAGGACATCTCTATTAACAGATCCTTCCTAAGGGAAAATGCTGCCATGAAAGTCCTGGACTTCAGTCTCTCACCTAGCGGCCTAAATTGGCCTCCTGGACCTCTTTGCCTAAACCAGATGCTCTTCCGCACTTGTTGATTTTCCCTCCAGCCCCATGGATAGTGGGTATTATAGGCTGGGGGAGGCTGCACCTCTCCAAACAGCCAAGTGTGGCCTCACCCACACTCCACCCTCAGACCTCCATGTGCAATGGATCTGGCTTGGGCTGGGGCTGTACCATCCTCCCTCCCTGCGTCCTGGAGTGGGATGTAAGGCTGGGGACATGTAACTACCCTCTTGGTGCTCTGGGGCAGGGGGTACTGGGGCCATGCCCCCTCCCTCTTGGCACTCTGGGGCTGGAGCCATGCCATCCACTCTTTTGGTGTTCTGGGGATGAGGGAAGTGGGATTGCAGTGCCCATGAACTTGGTGCTCAAGGGTTAAGGAGACTGGGACCATGCTGCCCGCCAACTGAGCACTTCAGGTCTGTAGTCATGCCAACTGCCCTTCCAGCAGCCTATGTATCTCTCTCTCTTTCTCTTAGTTCATCCAGTTCAGCCACTCTGGTCTCCAAAGCCTGTACACGGTCCCTGAGGGCCAGGAGCTCCTTGCACCAAATGCACTTGCCACCTGCCTATATTATCTCAATTTTACTTCTGTAACTCTGTCAATGTAGTAGGTGCTAAGCTGGATTAAGAGTGTTCCAGAATCCTGTAGATATGTGATGTATTAACTTACTTTTTCTGTCTAATAGAAATTCAGTGCAGAGATAATTTCACCATAGAAAATACTTACTTTTCCCTTCCACAGCAACGTTTTTCACTTAAGAGCCTATTTTGCTCCTATGTAAAACACAAAAAGAAATCCAGTTGTTTAGTAAAGAAAGAGAAGACTGACTAATAGGTTTCCCCTTCCATTTACCATTTTACAAACCTTTTCAGAAAAGGCATTTGGAACACCAAATTGTTTACCTTGCCCGCTTGTAAATCTCTGTATTTTTAATTTCCTAACCTTCTGTATCCAATCCTTGAGATCTTAAATTAATCCTCTGGTTTGGGTTTATAAATTGTATTTCATAGTTTCATAGATTTCACAGCCAGAAGGAACCAGCGTGATTAAATCATCTGAGCTCCTGTATAACACAGGCCACAGAACTTCCCCAAACTAATCCTAGAGCAAAAAAGTCTTGATTTAAAAATTGTCAGTGATGGAGAATCCACTGTGACCCTTGATAAATTGTTCCAGTGGTTAATTACTCTCCCTGTTAAAAATGTCTGCCATATTTCCAGTTTGAATCGGTCTTGACACAACTTCCAGCCCTGGGATCCTTTCTGAAATGCCATTGGATCATGTTATATCTTTCTCTACACAACTGAAGAGCCCATTTTTAAGTATTTGTCCCCCTCTGTAATTACTTACAGGCTATATCAAGTCACCCCTGAACGTTGTTTTTTCTAACTTGTGTCAGGCCCTAAGTCACCCCTGAACGTTGTTTTTTCTAATTTGTGTCAGGCCCTGCAGACTCAGACTCTCTCCTACCCTGGAATATTTGCCATGTGGGAAAGGTCTCTTTCCCCTCTCTCCCCAGGAATGATGCTCCTACACCACATTGCACCAAGCACATTTTTTTGTCAATCAGCATAAACCTCCTTAGGCAGGAACCCAAGTTCTCTCTACAGGTGCATTTACACTGCACCATAAATCAAAATAAGATTTTATTTTGATGCTATTTTGAAATACAGGCAGTCCCTGACTTACGCGGATCCGACTTATGTCAGATCCGCACTTATGAACGGGGCTTTTCTCGCCCCGGAGCTCGCGGGCAGCGGGACCACCCAGAGCGCAGTGGTCCCGCCACCTCGACCTCCGGGGCGAGAAAAGCTGCTCCGGGTGCCCCTGGTCTGCTGGGGACCGTCTCTAGCAGACCAGGGACACCGGGAGCAAAGCCGCAGCGGCGGCGGGGGGATTGACCCCTCGGGGGTTTGTTCCC